TCTATCTTTTAAAAATAGTGTATGACAAAAATTGCAAAAGCACTTTGGATGAGATCCAAAAGTACTTGGAGTGATTTTGGAAGAAGCAATTGAGAGGTGTTTTTTCTTAAAAGAGTTGTAGGACAAAAACACATGAAGCACTTAACTCCCTTTAATGAAACTTTTAAAATGCCAAAAATACCTATATTTAATTTTTTTTTAAATGCCTAAATACCCTTTCTTTCTTCTTCTTTTTTTTTTTTTTTCTCTTAATGATGACCAAAGCAAAGTCATTTCCTTTTTTCCTATTATATTTCAATTAAATTTATTATTAATCTCTGGTGCATGGTCCCTGAACCACGACTGCTTTAGTTTTCGTCTAATGTCCATGGTCGTCACTGTTGTTTTGTCATCAATGATTATGAGTATGATATGATTGGTCTATGAAGGATGTTTTAGCACTTGTGGAACAACAACCCGTGTTTTGTGTTCTTTTTATTGTCTATTAATCTATTTTGTGTTTCACTATACAAATTTCAAAACTTCAAATCTCTGGGTCAAGACTGCTAGGACATACTTATGTTGTATGTGAATGCTACTGGGGCATTGCATATGTTTTTGGCTTTGTTTACGAGTATGTTAGGTTGTTTGACTTGATATTTTCTCAATGAAGATGAAGATGAAGATGAAGATCACCTTTTCTCGATGTGACATATGTAGTGTAAAAACACTTTTAAATGTGACATCTAAACAAAAAAACTACTTCTTTGTAGAAGAGCTTATGTCATAAGAGCTATTAGCATAAGCGCTACTTACATAAGTGCTTCGAGAAGAAGCACTCCCAAACGGTTTGGCTTGCCCCTTATCATAAAGTGCTTCTAACGGGTTGTAAAATATTGTCATTGAGGCACCAGGTAGCTTGTCAACTTAAGGTAACAATTTGTCAATCGCATCACACCTTATGGTTTACTTTTAATTCTTAATATTTGATTTTTTAAAGTTTTATAATTTGGTTAGTAAAAAAGTGCTAAACGAAGAAATATAGACATAAACCACATGACACTAGATTATAAGATCTGACACAATTACTATAAATTGTATGGAATATTTATAACTTGTGACCTCACACGCGAATTCCCTTTTTCCACTCTTTTGTTTTTTGTTTTTTTTTTTTAAAGCTATAACTATAGTATCTTCTTTTTGAAAAATACTAAGGATACCACATTTATAGACAACATTTTATATCACCTCTTCAATAGAGGTGAAAACCATTATATTAGTGGATTCCATCTCTATTAAACATGCATTACACAATGCCGTCTTTAAATGCGATCTCTGTAATATGACTCCTTTTTTATTGAGCACTTTTGGGAGCTTTAATCTCCTCGTCACCATTGATCGGCAAAATTCAAGCTTTATCAAGGTTACCAGTTGTTTAGAACAAGATTCAATAATTCAAGCTTTGTTTCCAAGACCAACAAAACATTAATATTGGATTTTAATTAATGTCAAACATTATATCCAACTTTAGATCAACAAATATTTTCCTCGTTTAATCCAAGACAAATAAAGTGGAAAAATACAACAATCTTTAAATCAAATTTCAGAAAGAAAGAAAAAAGAAACAATTGAGGAACTAAAAATGAAGTTTCGATCGGGCCACAAGCTAAAGCTTGTGAAGGTTCTTGTCGTCATCGCTGGCTAGCTTGTCCCCTTATTATATTTCCAATATCCATTCACATAATGGTACACAAAGTTATCAAATTTGCAACTGTAATTGCGGCTTCTAATGCTTGAAATGTTTGCCGCAATCTGTTCTGCAAAACATAATCAAACAAGAACCAATTCAATTGATCATGTAAACATAAGTTTGTTATCATGCAACACTTTTTTTTCTATAAATACATAAATGGATCAACCAAAAGAGAAGAAAAACTGAAAAGATATATACCCTAGCAGGTGTAGCTGGAGGGTAGAAAATTTGTCGTGCTGGAGTGATTACCTGCATCAATGATTGTTTTCATTAACAAAATTGTATCCAAAAGAAAATCTTTAACTACAATTGATGAAAAAGAGAAAAAGTTTAGGTCAATGCATGCATATAAATACAGAAATAATTTTTAGTTACCAAATTCAGGTTTGGAAGACCAGCTTGTCTAAGTTGCGTTCTCTTTGATCTCAGCAGCATATGGTTATCCAAGAAGCAGGTGTGGTTGTGGCGGAACCGCCTGCTGGAGTAGCAACAGGAGCATAGATCATAAGTGTTGGCGGCTCTGTCGAAGCACTCAACACATGTAAAATACAACCCTTTTAGACACACCCCACAACCATCGCACCACAAGTTCCTGGTCTTAATGATGTAGTAAAATGTAAGCACTTCTTCGAAATCCAGACCGCCATCACAGTTTCGATCCAGATTGTTGAAGAAGCTAGGGTTAATCCAACCGTAGCCGTTCTGCCGA